CAGCAGCCCCACTTTTGGGTGTCTAACCCGCGACTTGCCAGAGAAGCACTCAGCCCTGAGGACATACTCTCTAGTTTAATATTTTGCAAACTGCAGCACTGTAGCATTGCTGTTATAAATACTAAAGGCAGCAATGCTTGAAATGGCTACTGTAAAATTCTGTAGTATTTTCTTAAAATAGCACTAGAGCCCCAACAATAACTCTTAGTATGTAATTGGCACTCTGCATCTTCAAAGTACCACGCTGACATTAATTAATTCCTCCTCTCAGCACTCCAGTGAGGCTGCCATCAGCTTGTAAAGCTGAACTCCAGGTGCCTGTATAAATGGCAGCCAACAGAGCTGCAACAGCAGTGCATGGAGATGTTTCATCTGAGCAGATGCATGCTCTAAATCTCCAGACCCAGAGCACTCTTGCCCAAGGTAAAAAATCTCAGTACACATAAAAGGCATTTAGGATGTGAGTGAGACCACGCAGCCCCACGGCTGAGGATGTAAAAGCCCACAGGGAAAGTGCAAAGCTCAGAGCCGAGGGAAGCGAGGCCCAACTTTGTTTACATGAAGTGTGAAAAGGAGGTGAAAAGCGGCATTGTTGTAAAGAGTGGAGCATGTTCAGCAGATGCACAGGTTTCCTGTTTTTAGACTCTTGGCTCTGTTTGGTGTTTTTCCAGTTTGGAATAAAATCCCTTAAACGAGAGAGCGTGAGGAGCCACCAGGACTTTTCTCGGAAGACGCTGATTGCCTTGGTTACATCTGGACTCTTGCTGGCGTTTCTGGGTTTGGCTGGATACTTCCTCATGAAACGGCGGAGCTGGAGCCCCATGGGAGAGAGGCTGGTTAGTGCTTATAGGTGGCAAAACAGCAAATAGAGAGCAGCCCCGGGCAGGCGGCGTGCGGCGGAGGGAGCCCGCAAAGCCGCGGCCTGCGGGCGCGAGCTGCCGGGGTCTCCGAGCACGCCAGCGGCGCCCAGGGGTGCAAGGCACGGAGAGCTGGGAGTTCCCGTGTCCTTCAGTTCGTTTCCGTGCGTGTATATATGTATTCCTAGGGGCACCAAGACGGTTTGGTAGTCCAGGCCCTGCTCTGAATGGCACAAGAGACGTGTCCACAAGGAGCCCGGAAACTTTGTGACTATGGCTGGGGGGGGCTGGGGAAGGCAAGGCACGGAGAGCTGGGAGTTCCCGTGTCCTTCAGTTCGTTTCCGTGCGTGTATATATGTATTCCTAGGGGCACCAAGACGGTTTGGTAGTCCAGGCCCTGCTCTGAATGGCACAAGAGACGTGTCCACAAGGAGCCCGGAAACTTTGTGACTATGGCTGGTTTGGCCTGGGAAAGATGAAGGGCATGAGCAGGGCCCCGCTGGCTGCCCAAGAGCCCCGGTCAGAGAGGGCAAAAGGAAGTCTCTCTTCCCATCCAAAATTAACTTTTTGTTGATTACTCACTTGGGAAAACTGCCCCTTTCTCTTGGTTACTTCCAGCTCTAACACTTGTTTTTGCTCAACAGTAAGAACTCATCCAGCAAGACCCCTCCAGAGACACCGAAACCTTATGAGTTTGTCACTAAAGTGACATACTTTAACTTTGCATTCACGGAATTTAAGAATGAGTTATATTTCTGTCTTGTACTGATGCTGTAATAAAGGTTATTTCTCCCTCACCTAACTAATAATGGTAATAAAACATGTCAAGAAAGAAAGAAAAAGAAATTTTCCTATTTCTGTTTTTCCTCTTTACAGACAGGCTGACCTCGGAGGATGTCGTCTTTACCAATGACGTGAGGGCGCATGAACCCCCCCATAAAGTGAAGACGGGCCATGCTAGTCTCCTTGTCACTGGTGGTGGGGGGCATGGCCAGCTGTGGTCAGGGAAGCTAGTAGACTTATTGCCAGAAAGGACTCCGCCAACACACGTAAACGTGAATTCAGGTGCCTGTGTACAAGAGAGGGATATCGGCGCTTGGGCTGCTGAGCCCTTCGCCTCTGAACGCTGCCTCCTGTCTGCACCAAGCAAGTGAAAGCCGATGAGTACTTGTGGTTTGAAGCTGTCTGTGTAAATATGGGGCAGTTTTAGGCCAGTTTCTAGATGACCCATACCTCTCACTGCCAGAGCCAAGGGTCAGCGAAGGGGCCAGGCAGTAGGCTTGTGCTGCAGGTGCTCAGCTGAGCAATTTAAGGAAAAAGGCCTTAGGCTTGCCTCTCCGCTCTCACACGCGCTCCTGGCAGGCGCTCACAGCCCGCGAGCCCCAGCTCCTGTTTGCCTTGCTCTCAGGCCTGCCACAGCCAGAGACGAGAGAAGGTCCTGGTGGACCAAGGCGGCCACTCTGGTCTTGTTCTGTATCCTCCAGAGACACGTGCTCCTCACAGCAATAATCATAACAAGCCGGAGAGCTTGTCTTTGCATTTCCAGGTAAACCGATCTCCAGACACAAGTAGCTGGAGTGCAGCCCTACATTTCGGGTAGCATGTTACCGTGAGTTTGCAAGCTGGGAGAAGGAAGGAAGGAAGGAGGGGGGAAGGAAATTTCCATGGTGCTCATTCAGCAGTGATTATTTGGTCAAAGTGGAAAACAGAGCTGATCTGTGATGGGGAAGGTTTGCAGACCCTCTAGGCAGGGATGGTTCAAAAGCCTGGTTATCTGAAAGGAACAAAAACCTGATGCCTTCTCTTTTTAGGTCAAGGAGAAAAAGATTAAGCTTCTGCTTGATATTCTTGCTTGGTTGTGCCACAGCATGGTTCAGGCCCTCTGGTCTCTCCCTTACTCGCAGGAGCCTCCTGTGCCTGCAGCTCTCTTGCAGCGCCTGTCCCAGGAGCAGACGTGCCTTCCGGGGGGCGCAGAGCCAAGCCGTTGCTTGGAGTTGAAGGTGATTGCTGCCGGTCGGGTCCGTGCCCTTCGCTAACTCTGCCTTTGTTACTTATGTACCTGTTTAGGGTGAAGACCCGTATTACATGGAAAACGGTAGCCAGGGCAACACAATGATCACGATGGCCTCCCATGAGCAACCCGAGCTGCAGGAGAAGCCAAACCTCAACGGAGGGGCTCAGGAGAATGGGACTGGCCAGGCATCCTCCAAAACCGGACACTCGGCCAAGCAGCGCAGCGTGGCTGACACTGAGATGTGAAACGTGCGCAGCGCTTCGTTAGTGTGATTTAATAGGGCAGCGGCGAGAAAAGGGAGGGCAAGAATTTTCTGTGGACTGTTAGGGAATTACAGACCTCCTTTATTTCTGTGAAGAACTTTCAGATCAGCCTAAAGCACATTAAACTCCAGAGCTACCAAAGACCTGCTTCACCACCTCCACTTAGCTCAGCCTGACCACACGAGAACCTTTTTTGCTGCCGTGCTCTGCTTTTGTTATTAAAAGAGCATAAATGAGAAATGCAAGTGCCACTTGGCCATTGAACAGCTTTTAAGTGGAGACAGATTGACGCTACAGAAGCCTTGATCCAAACAACCAAAATTTTTGGTGGGAGTTAGGCTGATTAAAATAGTTAAATCAGGATTTTAGTGGCAAAAACCTCTCGGGTTTCAGGGAATTTTGGATGTAAGAGTTGGTTTTAATCTCGTCTTTACATTTAAGCTCAGGATTTTTTTTCTTTTTTAGGAATGTCAAGCATTTAATTCCCCTACTTGTGCTTTATGTCTTTTTTAGTATTTCCTACTCCTGTAGCTTTTTCCTGAAGCTGTACGTAAAATTCTCCACCTGGAATTGAAGGTTGAGGAGTGAATAGACCTTGAACTCATTTTTTTTTAATCCTACCAGTATGCAGGTAGTTGTTTTACAGTAAAATCTTCCCTGGTCTCTTCATCTCAGGGACTCGAGACAGTGTTTGACAAGACAGAGCAAGTAATCAATCACTTGTGTGCGCGCGTGAGACAGAGAGCGCTTGAGCCTGCTTTAGACAGCTCTGCGCGTGCCCACCGCTTGCAGTCACACCGCCGTCTCCCGGGACGCGAGCAGCAGCTACTACCTAGCGTGGGACTTAGGGGACAAAAGATGCCAAAGGACTCCCAGTTGAATGAGAAAAATAGGTATATCATGCTAGTTTTGCCACGGCCGTTTTTCCTCTCTGCATTCAGCAATGGGTACGTGAAAGCAGAGAAGTATTTTTCGCTCTTTAGCAGCAAAAGGCCAGCGCTGACCTCCTGACAGCAGGAGGGAGTCCTAGTTCTGCACTGATCCTGCTCCGGAGGAAAAACACCGCCTCCGGCCAGGCCTGCGCTGCCGAGGTGGAGGGCCAGGCCGTGTCCTCGGGCACCTCCGTGCCACGCGGCCAGCGGCAGCCCCGCCACCTCCTCCCCGAAAAGCATTTGGACCTGGGCGTATCTGCAGGAAAGGGAGGTTGTGGTTCAGGGAGACGCTTCCAGCGGTCCCAAGTAAGTGCGGGTTGTCTCTTAGTGAGCCAAAGATAGTCCCGCAAGCCCGGTGCGGACGGCGTTCAGACAACGAAAAGACGGCAGGACATTAGTCATGCCGTAATCTCTACTGGAGCCAGTAGCGACCTCCACATAAGCAATCCGAACAAAAATAGGCCTTAAAGCTGATCTACCCTCTCACTAGTGAATTTGCTGCAACCTTTTCTCGGCGCTGAGGCACCCCGGTAACTGAGGGGAAGGCGCTTTTTTTTGGTACAGGCCTTAAAGGAAGGAAAGTAATGTTCCATCTGCATCATCTGGGTCTGCTTGCATGGGTGCAAGAGTCATTTAAATGTGGTTTAACATCTTTTAGGTTTTGTTTGTGTGAATTGCTTCTCCAAATCTCACTGTAAATAATCTCCACTGGAAAAAAAACCAGCATTAAAAATCAACTTCTCTGTTGTGTTCTTGGAACAATAGACTGTTTATTCCACTGGGAACCGTGACTCTGGCGGAGCTGTACGCCAGTGCGATGAGAGGACAACGCCTCACGGAGCAGTTGTTTTTCAGTAGAAATACTATGACTAAAAGCTGTGGCTTGTTCTTTGCACATTTTCCCTGTCTTTCAACAAACACGTTGGCAGAACAACTGCAATGCATTAAATTATTAAAACACATTTGTTTATTTTATGATGCTTAAGATGCCCACCGTATTGCTGGATAGATACAGGAGACTCCAGTGTCCCAGAGCGGTGGGCCGGCTCGGGGTCTGATCTGACAGCCGGCGCCGGTGTGCGCCGCGGTGAAGATGCCGCCTGGCTGCATGCAGCCCGAGTCATGCACGGTGCTCCTGCGACGATCAAGGCTCCCTCCCTCCGTGCACTGTGCAATAACAGGGACGCCTCTGGCCTCAAAGAATTTGTGTTTTAACTAGACGCAGAGGATGCAGCGTAGGGGAAGGAATAGAGGCTCGGAGACGTAGAATGACTTTCTTATTTAACGTCTTTTCTTCAGGGCTTTGGAAAACACCGCCAAGGCTCTGCTCCAGCCCCGGCTGCAGTGCCAGCACCCAGCCGCAGCCGTGACCTCTCCCAGCAGCTCAGCTGCCCGGAGGAGCTGGCCGGAAAGGGTCTTGCCCCACGTTGCTCCTCACAGTAAAAGGATTGTGAAGTTTCCCTCTGAATTACTGGAAGTTGCCAGAGGGGAGGGAGCTGCTCCTGGCGTGGTGCTTTGTGCGGTTGCGTAGGCTGCGCTTCTTCCTTCTCTTTCCAGCACGTGTTCAGGCAAAAGCGGCTACGTACGCGTCCAGCGCAGACCTGCGGGGTTGACTCGCAGCGGTGACTTCCACTGCTACAGGCTTTATGAACATGTTATATGTATTTTATGTTATTTGTGTTATATATGATTATAAATACATAGTTTGAAACCTCCAGGCAGAAAAGTTTCTGTTGTGTAGAATTTATTGGCTTGGGGCCGGTTTGCTAATTATTTTCCAAAGTAAAGTGGGATAGGAAGCTCTGCCTAATGAACCCAATTCAGCCTGTAATTGCTGGGCATTGCTAATATTGCTTTGGGGGCTTTTGGACAGTTGCTATACAAACCCTCCCCGGGGTCCCCTGCCCTGGCCTGCGTGGCCACAGTAGTGTCTGAGGCACTAGAAGTGTTGCTGAAGAGGTTTGCAGCTTTGGCTCACAGAGAAGCTGAGCATCTCAGAGCAAAGAGTCGGTGCAGCCTTCGGTTTGTGTGCTGCGGCCTCGCAGTTTGTGAAAGCGTGAGAAAAAGAAGGCAGTCGCCTGTACAGAGGCAGCAAGAGGCCGTGCCTGGCGCTGGTCCTGAGCACGCCGTGCTTAGGTTGTGTCTCTGCCTAGAGGACAGAAATAAGATCTTGCTCCTCCCTATGTGTTGAGAGAGAAGAAGAAGTCCCACTGAAGTATTAAGCAGAAATATTTTTGCTACTGGATTTTTTTCAGCTCTAAATATGTTTTTTTTTGTTGTTGAGAGTAGGGAATTTCTCTCCGTGGCCCCAGCAGCTGCTGCCTAAAGCTTGGCATTTAATTGCAAGAAAGGCTGTTTAGTTCCCTTCGCAGCCAGGACCAGCCTTCGGCATGGCTGTATCTGACCCCGTCATGGGTAAATCTCTACGTACGCACCCTTAGTCTGTCTCCAGTCTTCTAAAAAGTTACCTGCAGTACTTCATGGGGTCCTGCGAAGGTCAGTGCAATCTTGATTCTCCCTAGCTGTATGCATGGATTCAAGGAAGAACATTTAAATTGCGTCTTCCTGCGGCTCCCACGCCTTTTAACAGTTTTATCTAGGATGCTTTTAGTATCCTAGATACTAGGATGCAACCCAGGCTGACTGGGGTTGCACTTCCAGCTGTGCCACCATCCTTCTGGATAACCTTGGGCAGGTGCCCTAGGTCCTGCTCACCCTGTCGGCTTGCAGAGCAGTCATTGAGCTCCTGTTGTTCTGGAGATGCTGAAGTTCCACTGAAAACGGGAGGACTGGGGGGCTGAATAGCTTTACTGATCTGCCCTCATCCTCTCTGCGACTCTGCTCAGCTCCCCCAGCCCTTCCTAGTGCTCGTCTCCCAGACTTGGATCATCTGTCCTGACCATACTCTGGGCTGTGTGGTGCAGTGAGCCCCCGGTATTTCTTGAGACGGTACTGAATACTGTTAGAAACCACTGCTGTTAGTTTTATTGGAGTTCATGGTAAGCTCACCTCCTGCAGTGAATCCTAAAGACTGGTTTTAAGCAGAATATATGCAGGAAAACGAAATGTCTTTCTCTCCTGTGAGCCGTGGCTTCTGCAGAACACAGGGGAAATTCTCTTAAATGTTTTATTTTCAATACATTGTAAAATAGTCTGATTCTTTTTTTTTTGTTTGCAACTGTTTAATTAACCAGCACTACTTGCTGTATCAAAAATAAGAGATCCAATCCCACGTCAGGTGCATTTTTCACAGCTCAGATTATGTCCAACAGCCAAACTGAGACAATGAAGTTACAGTCAATTGCTCTGGCAAAACAAAAGCTTTTCCTAAAACATCCCCATCAACGGAAATGCTGAGCGTGGTGGTGGCCAAGCGGGGACGACGCTGACCGAGAGAGAGCCCGACCGGAAAAGGCTGCACTCACAGCCCCAGGAAGTTTTCTGCCTCTGTGTAAACACAGGCAGGCTCAGCTTTGGCCAAACCGAAAAGGCTATTATTCCTTATCAAACCACTTGCATTCCTTCCTTGCACACCCCACCGTAAGCGCTTGCTTTGGAGAACTCTGCTGCCAGCGACAACCCGGGCACCGTCCTCCTCCAGGACTCCAGGCGTCCTCCCTCGGCGCCTGCAAGTGGGCAGCCCCTTTTGTGCCACTCGCATTTTTTTCCTTTATTTCCATTAGCACTCTTTAAATCACTTTCAGCTTCTGACAACAGCTGGCTTGGCCACGCAATTGAGTCCCACAAGCGTGGTTGAAGGTTGATGCGGGGCCTCTTGCCTGGGCCGCGCTCTCATGCCGTCCTGCTCGTATACAGCACATGTACGGTCTGTTTGCCTGGTGGGGACCCTCATATCAGCATGAAATGACCTGGTGATGAAAATAATCAGCACAAAAGCACAAATTTTGCTTGAATCATCTCTGCCTGATGATCCACGCTGCGCTCCTTGGAGTGTAGGGGTTAGGCTATGGTTGTCTTAGAAACAGGAACCCAGGCAGAGGACAGATAATGAAGAGAAAGGGGCAAAGCCGAAAGCTGAGCCGAAGCAAAGGCTGGGCTAGTTGTCCTCTTCTTTGGCCTGTGGGCAGCTGAGCAAAGCCAGACGATTCTCTCCGGGAGCGACCAACTGCACGTGGCACTCGCAGGCACCCAGACTCCTGTGAATCGCATGGCAGCTGCTCCAGATGAGACAACGAACTGAGGAGACAACGAAGCTCGTTTAATTTGGAAGCCACCTACTATTCAGCCTGGAAGGCAGCTCTGCTTCTGGAGAGCTAATAACTCATGCTGCAGCCTAAAGCTGGCCGCGTTTCAGTGTCCAAGGAAGTAATTTATGTGGGAAACAAGAACAAATGCTGGTACCTTTGGGAGGGTTTAAAACTGGGTGCAAGGCTTTTTACCCGTATGCAATACATCCATCCCGGTGCTTTGAAGTGATTTGTAAATATTAAGCCTCACAGAACTTCTGCTGGGTAAAGGCAGATAGTCTTCTACTCTTACAAACGGCTCAATAGTCAGAGAGCCATGAGATGATATGCCCACGTCCCAGCCTGAAACAGAGCCAGGAGCTCTGACGCCCACTCCAGACAGCCCTGCGCCCTCCTGCAGCCTGAAATCAAAGGCTTTTTCAGAAATGAAGAATTGCCATAAACCGCTACTGTGAGTTTAAGCTGGCTTGCGCTGTGTACTGCTGAAACCAATCAAATTTATCAGAGCGAACAAGTTTTAATTAAGTCTTATTAACTATTTCCCTCAGTGGCTCTTCCTTGTCTCGCCTAATGAAAACAGCACAACCCTCCTAGCTGAGCGAGGGTAGAGGAAACTCCTGCCCTTCGATATTATAAGCCTTTCACAGCAAAACAGCAGGTCCCAGCTCGGAGAAAAGTACTTCCTTTCTCTGTTTGTTCTTGTTGCTGTTAATTTGTTTTTCATTAATTTAGTGCTGGTAAGACCTGCCCTGATGCCAGAAAGCTCTCAGCAGCAGGAGGATAAACCTTGCACAAGCAGCAAGCTATCTATTTCCTACTCATTGCCCTTTGAAGACATCAGCATTTTGCCTTTTGCTGTGCCTTGGAAGCCCCCAGAAAAAGATCAGATCTCCAGGTGCTATCCATCCTCCAGATCGTCTAAGACACCCATGAAGTTTCTATGTTGCTGATGT